TTTTTGACGAGGTTCGTAGCGTATGCTGCTTTCTTTTGAAGAAGAGTCTCTCTCGTTGAGTTTTATATTTAAAAAATTTGATTTTTTTTCCTGTTCTCATAACAGATTCTGGAGGAGTACAACATGGACCACGTGCCAATGAACCTTGTTCTTTTTGATGACGCCATCGAGCATCTGACACGCGTACACCGTGTGATCCGCATGGAGAAAGGCCACGCCCTTTTAGTGGGGGTTGGAGGCAGTGGTAAACAGTCCCTAACCAAGTTAGGCGCCTTTTCTGCTGGATGCGAGGTATTTGAGATCACCCTTACAAGAGGCTACGATGAGAATTCTTTCAGAGAGGACCTGAAGGGACTTTACTCGAAACTTGGTCTGGAAAACAAGAAAATGGTGTTCCTATTCACTGATGCTCATGTAGCACAGGAAGGTAAAATTCCCAAACGATATTGGCACATTAATACGATAAACCACACCAAAATAAAGATGGCACTGATCTGCATAGCATTAATGTTTTATTGCATTCCCAGGCTTCCTCGAGCTCATCAACAACATGCTCACGTCAGGAATGGTTCCTGCGCTATTCCCAGATGACGAGAAAGAGGGAATCATCGGCCAGGTAATTTCGAATTGGCTATTGAAGATCCCTACGGGTCATATGTGTTGTCGATTCTTGTTTTCGTTTTAAGGCTTTCCTCCGAGAACTTCAGTTTTCTCAGAAATTGAGGTGGTAATTCATGAATCTGAGACTTGAGAAAGCGATTTTGAATGAAGCACTGTGATTGGTCCGCAAAACGTGTACCAGCCAATCAGGTGGAAACTTTTGCCAATCGTGACGTGTTCACTCACTTTTCCCGCGCTTAAGGCCGTTGACATGTATTTCCTTTGATTCTTCTCATTGGCTCCTCGTGCCAATTTTTCTTCGCCTTGATTGGTTGTTGCGATTACTTTGATTTTGGTTTCACGATATTCCATAGAAAACTGTTGGATTTGAAGAAAAGACTATTTCATAGCTTGGTTTATTAAACAAAAGTATATTCCTTTTCTTCTTCTTACCTTCAGGTTCGTGATGAGGCAAACAAAGCCGGAGTACCACCTGCACGGGAATCTATTTGGCAGTACTTTGTTAACAAATGCGCAAACAATCTGCACATCGTTTTAGCCATGTCACCCGTGGGAGACACATTGAGGACACGATGCCGCAACTTCCCTGGTCTGGTCAATAACTGTAGTATTGACTGGTTTACAGCATGGCCACAACAGGCACTCCATGCTGTGGCCTCAGTATTTTTGGGAGAAAACGTAAGTTGACGAGAGCCGTAGACAACTCTATGATAATACCTTTTACAGGGTAGCATGATCTTGAGCCAAATATTTTCCGTCTGGCCCTCCTACTCAGTCAATAAGGGTATTGTAAATCGTATTCACATTGCAATCTAATTAATGACTTCATGGTGTTATGTTCTTGCGCAAAACTTTTAAGTCTCGCAGTGCCTCCTCTACTCAGGAATATGAATGGGTACTGGTGAATTGTCAGGGAAACCTGATGAAATGGGAAGGGGGGAAGGGGGGGAAGGGTAAATTTGCGATGTATTGACCTCCCATTCTGGGGGTAGTATCAGTAATCCTAGTCGCTTCATGCTAAGGAAACCGGGATAAGGTCCGGCTAGATGGGCCACTTGGCTCGAGTACAGACTTTACCTTTTCAGTTTTACATTGTATTGAATACCACTCAAGATGAGTAGGTTATTTTTTAAGGAGCGCGTTACAATCAACATAGTTCCCCGTTAAATGCCCCTCTCCAAGAGCGTGTAACGACCGCTCAGATACACTCTTCACTGATCCATCAAAACAGAAATTGTATGTGGACTTATAAAATTTCAGGGTTGTTCAGTGGTCAAGGTATTTTTCAAATAGCCTGTTTTTACCCTGAAAAGTTGACAAGCTTGTTGTGCGGAGTAATTCAATCTTTAACCCTTTGACTCCCATGAGTGACCAAGACAGTATTTCTCCTCTCAACATCAATACAAAATCAAGTGGTGGGACTGAAGAAAATTACAACAAGGGGATTGTTAGTTGATCCAATACTAAATTCTCTTAAGTCTGAAGTAGTATAATAAGAAATGTTTGGCAAGGAGAATTACTAATGAGATCTTGGAGAGAAAGGGTTAAAGTTCTCTCTAATTTTTGAGGGAAGTATTAAAACAGTTTTTTACAGGTTATTCTTAAAACCTGAATGACTCCTCTTCGCCAACCTGTTGAAATTGTTCCTTTATCTTTTCTCCAGAACGACAAGATACCCGATGAGCACCGTGAAAATGTTGTTAACCACGTGGTGTTTGTGCATCAGACTGTTGGGGTGTACAGCAAAACATTCTTGCAGAAGCTGAGGAGAGTTAACTACACCACACCAAAGAATTACCTGGACTTTATCAACACGTACAACAAACTGTTGGAGGAGAAAGACAAGTTTGTCTTGGAACAGGTTAGCTTCACGTTCACGCAGCTGTCTGGCCTGTGGTCTGCAATCACGCCCTCATTATTCACGCTGCAGGACGCACGTTTCTCCACCCGCGGGAAGATTTGAGACTAGTAGGGAAGAGGTTTGCCAGGGTCTGGACCCATTGCAGACCTCTTGCCGCTTCCTCTCGTTGCTCAAGGTGTCATATTTTCCCGAGGGCGAAGAAACGCCGGTGCTGAAGTACTATTAATGAGGAGCAACTCGTTGACTCGCCGCTATCATGTTGTACTCTGGAAGAATGACATGGCTGGCTTCCATGAATGGAGACTGTATTAAACGAAACAAAACTTTTTCCTTCTTCCTTTCTGCAGTGGATGTTATGATATATTCACGCGTAATTAAGCATATTGATTTGAACCAGGGGAATAGAGTAATTTTCATTTGAGTGTTGAAATATTTTTACTTCACTTTGAACTGTGATTAGTCCAGAAAAAAACTCGTGCCATCCTCTCAAAACTAAAAACAAACGCGACTTCGGCACCTGCTTCTAGCAGAATGCTTCTTTTCACTTCTAGTTCTCATGTACCCAATCAGTTATCAAATTATTTTTCTAGTAAAGGGTGATCGCGTTTTTCTCCAAATAATATTTCGACTTTTGCTTTAGTGTCATCGTCTTGACGGAGGCCTCAGCAAATTGCTGGCCGCAAGCGAACAGCTGAAAGAACTGAATGAAAAGCTGGAGATTCAGAAAGTGGCAGTGACAGAGAAAAGCGAGGCCTGCGAGAAACTGCTCTCAGAGATTCAGCGTGCCACGGAATTAGCAAACGAGAAAAAGGCCATGGCAGTTGGAAAGAGAGAGGAAATAGCCGAACAGAACAAGGAGATCGTTGTCGAGAAAGCCGAGGCTGAGGAAGCTCTTGCCCAGGCTCTGCCTGCGTTAGAAGAAGCTAAACTGGCTTTGCAGGATTTGGACAAATCTGACGTCACTGAGATCAGGTACGTGTTCTAACGTGCTACCCAGAGAGAGGGCTGAAAAAATAAACAAACATGGGACGGTCTTGGTGAAAACTAGTTTCTCAATTTTGAGTCGCTGTCGCGTAATTATTAATTGATTATTTATTTCACTTTCTTCTCTATAATCACGTTAGGAATAGTACTCATGATGGTTATTAACCTTCCGTTTTCTCTCCCCAGGTCATTCGCCAAACCCCCTCGAGCGGTACAGATGGTGTCAGAGTGTATCGTCGTAATGCGTGGTTATAAAGAGGTATCATGGAAACAGGCAAAGGGAATGATGTCTGAAGCAAACTTCTTGAAGAGCTTGACAGATATGGATGTGGATGGCATCACAAGCGCTCAGGTAACGGGTAGAGATTAAGGATTTTTTTCCACTGGCTGAGTGAAACGAAACAAACAGAGATACATAGGTGTTTTTCACTCGCCACTTGGGGTCTGGAATAGGTGACATGACTTTGGCGGGGAGTACTTTATGTTGCCTAGCCAATACTGACCTTTTCTACTCAACCACTCGCTCCAAAGATTTTAAGTTGCACTATATAATGGTTAAGTGTCATAAAACTATAATGATTACAGCGGACGATGATAGAAAAGGTAACAATAACAAATAGCAAGCGCGCAAAAGTGCTAGTTAACATCTGACATTTCATTGTAATTTTGGTGTGATTGCTTGAAAAGATGGCTGAACGTGCTCGACGAATCACAGATTAAAAAAAACCAAGGCAATACTAAATCACGCTCAAATAACAAATGCGCGATAGAGCCAAACCATGGCGCCTCCAATTTCCATTGAGTTATATTGTGCCTTCTTCTCTCTTTTAACTGTGGTATTCCTTTAGGTGCGTCGCGCCCGTGATATGTTGAAGGAGATGAACATCACAGTAGAAGAGATGAGAGAAGTCAGCAAAGCAGGAGCTGGATTACTCAAGTTTGTGGTGGCCGTGCTTGGCTACTGCTCTGTTGCCAGGGAAATCAAACCAAAGAGAGAGAAGGTAGGTGTTATGAACATGATATACAAGGTTGTCTGAGACAAATCTAATCCGTGATAGAAGTAATTGGTTTACATCCCTCCGGAAGGAGCGTGGGCTTATGTCTTGGACAGCGGCTGGTTACGAAGCTTAGAAGAATACATAGTGTAACAATCCTACAGTGGGTCTACACGAGACCCTCTATACCACACTTACGAACTGTTATCAGTCTGTGCGAAGTGTGATGAACTATGTATCTTTTTGCATCACAGGTGGCTAGGCTGGAGAGAAATTACCACCTGAGTAAGCGTGAATTGGAGAAGATCGAGAAAGAAGTGAAGGCTTTGGACGAGGAACTGAAGAATCTTGGGGATAAATACGATGCCGCCATGAGAGAGAAGTCGAGTTTACAGGAAGAAGCGGAAATTATGGAACGGCGCCTGATAGCAGCTGATAAACTCATTTCTGGTCTGGGATCTGAGAAAATAAGGTAAATGA